TTGTTGTAAATAGGCAATGGAAAAAATTTAGGGTGAACATTACATATCTCATTTACCTTTGAGTGCTATCAACGGAATTATGTACATTGACATTAACTTCAATTTAAGATTCCAAATATTTTTGAATATATTCAACCTTACTTAACTTTAATTATCTAATGTAATATCTTTACAAAACTCTAAAATATTGATGGCCTGTATAGATATAGATTTAATAAACTATAGATTCCTCTTATCATCCTCTTTACCAATAACTATTTTCAATAAGTTCTTAAATATTGTTAGCAACTATACTTTCGTCTGAGCCTGAACAAGAAATTAAAATAACATTACTTTCTTTCACATTTTTTCAGTCACTTCCCCATCTATCCTAGATTGATCATTTTAGTAAAAGGAGATAGGTTTTAGACTACCAAAAAGCTTATAATTTAAATTGCAGGACTGAAGGCTAATTAAATTGTTAGCTGATCATTATCTTACTTTATAGTTGTTTACTTCAATTAAATTAATCAGCCCTCTTTTGATTTAATGAGAATAATTCTTTGTTCTTTCATACTTCACTATTGATATTTAAGTCAAAATCTTTGGTAATTCTCTTTTATAAGATTTATTTCAATTATACAGCCATTTTATTCATATACTTTAATAACATTCTAAAAACTAATCTAAATCTACAAGTTATTTAGTATAGTTTAATTCATAGAAGAGGTTTCTTAAGCTACTATCCTATAATTTTGAATTAATTATCCAGTAATTCCGTGTTTAAATTTTATTGAATATACTAATTACATTTGTGTTCATCATAAGTCTAGGCATGGAAATGCTCCCATAAACTTGCTTTTTTTTTTTGCAAATTACTGTTCAATTAAAATTGGAATTTACGATTGAGGACACATTATAACCTGTATTTATTAAATTTTTAAATTTCCTGCCATAATGGTATTAATCAAAGAACACTAATAATTTTAATGAATACAATATGGCTTGGTTGATTATTTCTGATTATTGAATTTTGCACCTTTCTTAAAAATATATACTGTAATTTTCATTTAAGGAGTGATTTTGTAAAATCTTACAGTCCTAATAAGATTAGAACAATTCTATTACATAATCTTAATAAAAGTGTTTAAAATTCACGTCCCACTTTCTAGAAATTATCTATTAAAAATCGTTTTGAGAAAACAGGAACTTAACTTAGTAATGCGTAAGAGGATATTTTTAATATTAAATTCTGTAAATAATAATCTTCAGTAAATTATATTAAGTTAATAACTAAAATCCTTAGAAACCTCTAAATAATTAGGCTGTGCCTCTAAGAGCATTTTAAAGTTGTATTTGATTAAAATTAAGATTAGTTGAAAAATTGTTTTTATGAGTAAACAATTGCATTTTTGTCATTATTTAGACTAATTAATATAATAAAACTAGGCAGTGGAATCTAATTACAAAAATAATCTAATAAAGATAGGTTATTTGTGAAGTTATTAAAAATGGAAGATGGTGTGACTTTATCTTTTGAGTCTAACTTTAATTNATACTGTTGTTGTAAATAGGCAATGGAAAAAATTTAGGGTGAACATTACATATCTCATTTACCTTTGAGTGCTATCAACGGAATTATGTACATTGACATTAACTTCAATTTAAGATTCCAAATATTTTTGAATATATTCAACCTTACTTAACTTTAATTATCTAATGTAATATCTTTACAAAACTCTAAAATATTGATGGCCTGTATAGATATAGATTTAATAAACTATAGATTCCTCTTATCATCCTCTTTACCAATAACTATTTTCAATAAGTTCTTAAATATTGTTAGCAACTATACTTTCGTCTGAGCCTGAACAAGAAATTAAAATAACATTACTTTCTTTCACATTTTTTCAGTCACTTCCCCATCTATCCTAGATTGATCATTTTAGTAAAAGGAGATAGGTTTTAGACTACCAAAAAGCTTATAATTTAAATTGCAGGACTGAAGGCTAATTAAATTGTTAGCTGATCATTATCTTACTTTATAGTTGTTTACTTCAATTAAATTAATCAGCCCTCTTTTGATTTAATGAGAATAATTCTTTGTTCTTTCATACTTCACTATTGATATTTAAGTCAAAATCTTTGGTAATTCTCTTTTATAAGATTTATTTCAATTATACAGCCATTTTATTCATATACTTTAATAACATTCTAAAAACTAATCTAAATCTACAAGTTATTTAGTATAGTTTAATTCATAGAAGAGGTTTCTTAAGCTACTATCCTATAATTTTGAATTAATTATCCAGTAATTCCGTGTTTAAATTTTATTGAATATACTAATTACATTTGTGTTCATCATAAGTCTAGGCATGGAAATGCTCCCATAAACTTGCTTTTTTTTTTTGCAAATTACTGTTCAATTAAAATTGGAATTTACGATTGAGGACACATTATAACCTGTATTTATTAAATTTTTAAATTTCCTGCCATAATGGTATTAATCAAAGAACACTAATAATTTTAATGAATACAATATGGCTTGGTTGATTATTTCTGATTATTGAATTTTGCACCTTTCTTAAAAATATATACTGTAATTTTCATTTAAGGAGTGATTTTGTAAAATCTTACAGTCCTAATAAGATTAGAACAATTCTATTACATAATCTTAATAAAAGTGTTTAAAATTCACGTCCCACTTTCTAGAAATTATCTATTAAAAATCGTTTTGAGAAAACAGGAACTTAACTTAGTAATGCGTAAGAGGATATTTTTAATATTAAATTCTGTAAATAATAATCTTCAGTAAATTATATTAAGTTAATAACTAAAATCCTTAGAAACCTCTAAATAATTAGGCTGTGCCTCTAAGAGCATTTTAAAGTTGTATTTGATTAAAATTAAGATTAGTTGAAAAATTGTTTTTATGAGTAAACAATTGCATTTTTGTCATTATTTAGACTAATTAATATAATAAAACTAGGCAGTGGAATCTAATTACAAAAATAATCTAATAAAGATAGGTTATTTGTGAAGTTATTAAAAATGGAAGATGGTGTGACTTTATCTTTTGAGTCTAACTTTAATTGACAAATAATTAAAATTCTGTTCAATATAGTTGAATAGATTTTAATTAAAGACTATCATGTTTTAAAAATTCCCTTTTTTCTTGAGGTTAGTCAAATTGATTTACATGATTTGATCAATTTGAGAACATGTCTCTCCATTCACAATATGAGAGTTATTGATATTAATAATTTATATTAAATTAAAAATAGATTTCTAGTATTTATTATATATGTAGAATTTTATCAATATTGATTATTTAATATATCATATATAAAATAACTCTAAATGAATTTAAATTTTCGTGAATTTAGCTATGGCTGCATTTTTACCTTTTGAAATAATTAGTTATGATTTAAAACCTTAAATTTAAACAATAACTCTAATTTGTTAACAATACTTAATTATTAAAGGCAAATTTATAAATAACACTCTTAAAATCATCTATAATCTGCTAATATAGGAACCATTCCCATGTTATATTCAGACATAATTTTCAGTTAATAGTTATTTATCTATGTACTTTCTAATCACGAACTGCCTCTCAGAANTTTTATAAGATTTATTTCAATTATACAGCCATTTTATTCATATACTTTAATAACATTCTAAAAACTAATCTAAATCTACAAGTTATTTAGTATAGTTTAATTCATAGAAGAGGTTTCTTAAGCTACTATCCTATAATTTTGAATTAATTATCCAGTAATTCCGTGTTTAAATTTTATTGAATATACTAATTACATTTGTGTTCATCATAAGTCTAGGCATGGAAATGCTCCCATAAACTTGCTTTTTTTTTTTGCAAATTACTGTTCAATTAAAATTGGAATTTACGATTGAGGACACATTATAACCTGTATTTATTAAATTTTTAAATTTCCTGCCATAATGGTATTAATCAAAGAACACTAATAATTTTAATGAATACAATATGGCTTGGTTGATTATTTCTGATTATTGAATTTTGCACCTTTCTTAAAAATATATACTGTAATTTTCATTTAAGGAGTGATTTTGTAAAATCTTACAGTCCTAATAAGATTAGAACAATTCTATTACATAATCTTAATAAAAGTGTTTAAAATTCACGTCCCACTTTCTAGAAATTATCTATTAAAAATCGTTTTGAGAAAACAGGAACTTAACTTAGTAATGCGTAAGAGGATATTTTTAATATTAAATTCTGTAAATAATAATCTTCAGTAAATTATATTAAGTTAATAACTAAAATCCTTAGAAACCTCTAAATAATTAGGCTGTGCCTCTAAGAGCATTTTAAAGTTGTATTTGATTAAAATTAAGATTAGTTGAAAAATTGTTTTTATGAGTAAACAATTGCATTTTTGTCATTATTTAGACTAATTAATATAATAAAACTAGGCAGTGGAATCTAATTACAAACATAATCTAATAAAGATAGGTTATTTGTGAAGTTATTAAAAATGGAAGATGGTGTGACTTTATCTTTTGAGTCTAACTTTAATTGACAAATAATTAAAATTCTGTTCAATATAGTTGAATAGATTTTAATTAAAGACTATCATGTTTTAAAAATTCCCTTTTTTCTTGAGGTTAGTCAAATTGATTTACATGATTTGATCAATTTGAGAACATGTCTCTCCATTCACAATATGAGAGTTATTGATATTAATAATTTATATTAAATTAAAAATAGATTTCTAGTATTTATTATATATGTAGAATTTTATCAATATTGATTATTTAATATATCATATATAAAATAACTCTAAATGAATTTAAATTTTCGTGAATTTAGCTATGGCTGCATTTTTACCTTTTGAAATAATTAGTTATGATTTAAAACCTTAAATTTAAACAATAACTCTAATTTGTTAACAATACTTAATTATTAAAGGCAAATTTATAAATAACACTCTTAAAATCATCTATAATCTGCTAATATAGGAACCATTCCCATGTTATATTCAGACATAATTTTCAGTTAATAGTTATTTATCTATGTACTTTCTAATCACGAACTGCCTCTCAGAATCACTCCAACTTATCAAATATTGTCCATCATCACTGACAACACCATAGATTTCTCCCCAATACTATTATTTAATTTCAATTGCTTAAACTAATTCAAAGTCAAAATCGTCTTCACTTTAGTTTTTGGCTTGTTTTTAAATCTCCTAATTAACTACCTTCTTATTTACACTGATAAAGTTTAGATTATGACCATTTTTACTCAAAAAAAACCTTTTTTAAGGCCTATAAATTATTGGAAAGTAATAATCACAAGCTTAATTTGCTCCTTTAACTGAAAGTTCTCTTAGCTTTTAGAAAGATTCATCTTATTATCGCTTATAAATCCACAATGATGAGGACCTTAACTGAAAAGCAAATATATCTCTAGTAATAAAGCCGATGCGATATCCAAATCCATTACTTATAATTTATTTAATTTCCCAATAAGAATCATTGTTCTGTTTTGTTATCACAATTACCCATCTTCTATGAGTACATGAGATCACTTCATCACTGTAAGGATTAATCGACAATCCATATATGTCTCCAAGGTAAGAATTTTAATACTCGTTAATTATTTAAGACTTCTGCCATTGATTATTATTGCTTTTCCAAAAAATGATAGCACCATCATCACAACCAGATACAAATATATTCTCTTGATTTGGATGTAATGCTAAACAATTTATTGGTTTCTCATGTTCCTGCAATCGTTGTATATACTTAGAGGATGAAGCAAGATGAAATGATGAAATCTTTATGGAATTATCTTTTGAGGTAGAAAAATAATTGGTTTTCAACCTACATATAGTAAGAGTGGTGACTAATTTCTGATGTATCGTTACAACTTATAACTGCTTCATTTAATCTTAAAAAAACTAATAAAGGTACACAGCTTTATCACATGCAGCTAAAATTAGATCGTTACTATTATTAATGGCTATAGCTTTACAATCCTAAGACTGATAAATATTTTGTGAATTAATTGGCTCAAAGGAGAATTAATCTTAAATATGGTCTTTATTAAAAATCATATATTTTATAAATTATTTATAAAATCTAGCAAAATGAAGTGAAATATTTGTTAATATTCTATTAAAATAATATAACAATACAAACATAGAAATAAGTCACATATTACAAAATTGAACAATTTTATTCGTCTGGAGCATATTACAGAAGCTTGTACAATACATATAAGTATTCGCGATATCAAAATTTTAGATATAGATATTTAATTGAATATTAATGTTGTTTCTTTATTTATAATTTCAATAAAGGTATTTAACAACAAGTAAAACTAATGTAGATAATCTTCTACACAAATAATGCTCTGTCTATTGTATAGGTTATTGCATTTTTAACATTGAAATGCTTACAGATTTAACTTAAATTATCATGCCTACTTAACTCCAATGCATTTTCAAAAACACAGATTATGTGGTATTAAATAATGCTATTTCAAAATCTTCAATAACTTTTGGCATCTTACCTTACAATAATGAAAACTAATTGTTGTAGTTTATTGCATTCTTTTTACAATACTCACACATACCCAAATTTTTATGAGCGCTTTGTAAATAAAATAGCAGCAATTACATTTTTGAGTAATTGGATTTTCTTTTTACATCCCCTTTCACAAATTAACATCACATATTGAACCTATTCCAATCATCTTTAATTAATTCAGTAATATCAAAAGAAAAAATTCATCGCATCCATAACATATCCTCATAGACATCTGATATCAGATTTTGAGAACATTTATTTTAAATTAATGAAGACCTCAATGAATTTTTCACTTAAGTAACTACAATTTGAGGGACATGATTTCCTTTATTTTCTTATAATCAGTTTGAATTGACGGCCAGTAAGAATATAATTACATACTTGTAAGTCTATAATTACTAAAAGAACTTCGCTAACATCAAATGAGAAATGAACTCAAAGCTGGTAAATAATGCTTCTAAAATCTAAAAGAAACTAATTATTTGTATATTTTTTAAATAATTCTTAGGTTTTTATGTGGATTTTCACCGTAAAAATGGAGTATCTAGAGAATACAAATTCGGGTAGGCATAAAAAAGAGGTTACATTTCATTTAATAGACCATTTTACTTTAGTCTCTAATTATAGAAATTTGTCATTTAGCAAGAGAGTGAAATCTAATTTTTACTTCATCTTCGCTTGTGTTATTTCTTAATCATTAACCTTCTTCTGATTGCAACTAAATTTTTTGAAATTTCTAGGATTACATCTATATAATATATTATTGATGGCATCAAAAGGCTATAAACTATAAGTTGAGGAATTATTTTATTGAGTTCGGTATGATATATTGTTATAATTAAACTTATGGTGCCTTTCTTGTGCTCTCCTCATCAATTTTAATATAAATTTTCCATTATTAATTATTCCAGTTTCTAGTAAAAGTATCTAGTTTTATGTTTCTGGAAATCTGCCTTAACATTTTAAAAATTCGTTCTTTATTCGAATCCAGAATAAAAATTATATTAATTTATATCTTTGATCCATTTCTTATAAATTAAAACTCAGATTTTTCACATAATAGTTATACGTCATGGTTATCAGGAAGCTAATTTAGCCTCGCTTTTCGTTCGTATTCAATTGTTATACAAGGCTTTAAAGCATTCTTCTGATTGAGCTTGGAGATACTGTTTTCTCAATCAATATGATATGATCTTTTAAACATTTCATTTTAGGACATAACCCTTATATATAAGGATTAAAATAATTATTTAAGAATGCAGGAATGTTGATTGCAATTGCACCTTTTCTTGCCACATTTTATCCCTGGTTTGATAAACTTTATTTAGGATTAAGCTAGTTCCTGTTCTCTTAATTGTTCCCAACTTTTGTGATAAAAACTGCAATTCTCTCAATTGGGCAATCACTTAGTAGATATCAAAACAAAATTTCTCAGAATTTATACAGATTTTCTCAAATCGAATGCTTCTAAATTAGATTTATGAATAATTACTAAGAAATTGCGATAATAATCACATTTCAGCAATATAATTGCATTTAAGAATACCTTTTATTGTATTTGCATTTTTTCTTATTTCAAAATGATGTAATTGAAATCTTATATTAACATTCTTGATGATGATTGATAATTTTTATAATAATCGATATAAAATGATATGATTTTAAATAAATCATATAATTTCATATTGCATAATGGATATTATAATAATAAAAGTAAAAATAAATGATGCTAAAGCTAGAAATTTAAAGGGGTTTTATAAAAGAATTGAATTTCAAAAATAAGGAACAATTAAAATTTTATAAATAAAAAGGTTTCTTTTTTTACAATTTAAATTAAATGAACTCAATATTAATACAAACACTTCATTAAAATTAAAGAATACTTCCTACCCTGATTAGATCTATTGATATATTGAAATTTAATTTAATCAGCCTTATATCTTGGTTCAACCTTTTATTAGTGTGTTATAATTAAATCATATAAATAGTTAGCTAATATCCTTTCCTTTTGAAAGGATGAATTCTTAAGAGCCATACTTTAATTAATTATTGTTACTTTATTAATTACCTAAGATTTTTGATCAGAAAATTAAGAGTACTATTAAAATATTTTATTGAACTATTTCATATATATATAAATTAATCAATAATAAGAAAAAATCCTAATATATAATTTTGTTCTTTTATTCCACTAACTTAGATTATATCTATGTTTAAAAAAATAATTTTATATAATGAGTAGTTTTCTGTTTAATTGTATTATTTAATCATAATAAATTCCTAAATAAAAATTAATCAAATAGAAGAGGGGATATAGATAATATTCAAATTATTAGAAAATATAGGTTATGAAGAAAATCTACCAGAAATTAGATTTTCTCACAGTTCTTTAAAACATCAACTAGTTAAATCCATTTCTTAACAATCTCTAAAGACTTCTTTCAAAAAGACTAGAACTTGATTAGTTAGCATATCTGCTTTCAAAACCTGCATCTTAAACATTTATCCCATTTATTAATCAGAATCTTTAGACAATGTATTAGGAAAAAATACTAATCTATTAAATCTATAATAATATGCAATTTTTTTCATTAAGAGATAATAATTTAATTAATGACGTAATTTGTTGAATACGATTTTAACATCAAGTTCTAATAGTATATGTTAAGTAAAGCAATCATTAATGATTGTTGTTAACTTATACGATTTAATACTCTTTTAGGAGTAGTTCAAAAATAAAATTCACAACTAAAGACTTAAGGAAATGAATTTCTTTAATTTACTCAGAAAACCTAAATTTAAAACAAAAAGAAAATTCAAAAGGGGTCAAAAAAATTATTATTAGTTTAGGGGTTGATTAAAGAAAATATCTACGCTTATTAAAAGAGTATAATTTTAAAGCAATTACTTTAGATAAAATTAGTGGACTTGACTAAGAATTAGATTATTATGATTAAGGTATTAAGAAACATCCTGAAAAATCTGGTTACTATAATGGCAAAGGTACAAATATATATCAAAAATTAATAGCTACTACTTTATAAAAAATGAATAGATTAGAAGAAGCATTGAATTATTATGATTTAGCTATATAAAAAAATTGTTAAAATTCATTACATTATTTTAACAAAGGTATTTATAACCATTATAATTTAAAAGCAATCACTTTATGTAAATTAAATCGACTTGAAGATGCATTGGTTTATTATAATAAAGCTATTATGAAAAATCCTGAAGTTTCAGACTATTATTTTTACAAAGGTAGAGCAAANTTAAAGAATACTTCCTACCCTGATTAGATCTATTGATATATTGAAATTTAATTTAATCAGCCTTATATCTTGGTTCAACCTTTTATTAGTGTGTTATAATTAAATCATATAAATAGTTAGCTAATATCCTTTCCTTTTGAAAGGATGAATTCTTAAGAGCCATACTTTAATTAATTATTGTTACTTTATTAATTACCTAAGATTTTTGATCAGAAAATTAAGAGTACTATTAAAATATTTTATTGAACTATTTCATATATATATAAATTAATCAATAATAAGAAAAAATCCTAATATATAATTTTGTTCTTTTATTCCACTAACTTAGATTATATCTATGTTTAAAAAAATAATTTTATATAATGAGTAGTTTTCTGTTTAATTGTATTATTTAATCATAATAAATTCCTAAATAAAAATTAATCAAATAGAAGAGGGGATATAGATAATATTCAAATTATTAGAAAATATAGGTTATGAAGAAAATCTACCAGAAATTAGATTTTCTCACAGTTCTTTAAAACATCAACTAGTTAAATCCATTTCTTAACAATCTCTAAAGACTTCTTTCAAAAAGACTAGAACTTGATTAGTTAGCATATCTGCTTTCAAAACCTGCATCTTAAACATTTATCCCATTTATTAATCAGAATCTTTAGACAATGTATTAGGAAAAAATACTAATCTATTAAATCTATAATAATATGCAATTTTTTTCATTAAGAGATAATAATTTAATTAATGACGTAATTTGTTGAATACGATTTTAACATCAAGTTCTAATAGTATATGTTAAGTAAAGCAATCATTAATGATTGTTGTTAACTTATACGATTTAATACTCTTTTAGGAGTAGTTCAAAAATAAAATTCACAACTAAAGACTTAAGGAAATGAATTTCTTTAATTTACTCAGAAAACCTAAATTTAAAACAAAAAGAAAATTCAAAAGGGGTCAAAAAAATTATTATTAGTTTAGGGGTTGATTAAAGAAAATATCTACGCTTATTAAAAGAGTATAATTTTAAAGCAATTACTTTAGATAAAATTAGTGGACTTGACTAAGAATTAGATTATTATGATTAAGGTATTAAGAAACATCCTGAAAAATCTGGTTACTATAATGGCAAAGGTACAAATATATATCAAAAATTAATAGCTACTACTTTATAAAAAATGAATAGATTAGAAGAAGCATTGAATTATTATGATTTAGCTATATAAAAAAATTGTTAAAATTCATTACATTATTTTAACAAAGGTATTTATAACCATTATAATTTAAAAGCAATCACTTTATGTAAATTAAATCGACTTGAAGATGCATTGGTTTATTATAATAAAGCTATTATGAAAAATCCTGAAGTTTCAGACTATTATTTTTACAAAGGTAGAGCAAAATATAATGTTATAGGAGATTCGTTATAGAGCATGAATAGATTTGAAGAAGCATTGAAAAGTTATGATTAAGCTATTTAAAAAAATCCTGAAAAATCTGGCTATTATAATAGCAAAGGTACGATCTATTCTCTAAATTTTCATTAGCTATTACACTAAAGAATATGGATAGAAATGAAGAAGCATTACAATCTTTTGATTTAGCTATTTAGAAAAACCCTGAATATTCACACAATTATTTTAACAAAGGTATAATCAAATCATTATTGTTTAATAGCAATTACTTTAGATAAATTAAATCGACTTTAAGAAGCATTGGAATATTATGATACAGCTATTATGAAAAATCCTGAAGTTTAAAACTACTATGATAACAAAGGTAAAATAAAATGAGGATAATTTTCTAGCTACTACATTATATAAAATGAATAGATTCGAAGAAGCATTGGATTATTATGATTAATCTATCTTGAAACATCCTGAAAATTCAGACTATTATAATAATAAAGGTTTAATTAAGTCTATTTAATTTTAAGCTACAATTTTATATTGTATGAATAGATATGAAGAAGCATTGGAATATTTTGATTTAGCAATTTAAAAAAATCCTGAAATTTCATACTAATATTTTAACAAAGGTATATATTTTTGATACAATTCTTTAGCTAATACATTAGAGAAAATGAAAAGATATGAAGAAGCATTGAAATTTTATGATTAATCCATTTAAAAAACCCCAAACAATTCAGACTATTTTAATAGCAAAGGTTTATTTAATTTGGATAATTTTGAAGCTCTTGCATTAAAGAAACTGAATCGACTTGAAGAAGCATTGATATATTATAATTATGCAATTTAAAAAAACCCTGAAAATTCTGACTATTTTTTTAACAAGGGTATAATCTATTAATATAATTGTATAGCTCTTACTTTATATGAAATGAATAGATTTTAAGAAGCATTGGATTATTATGATTAATCTATTTAGAAATGCGCTTTAAATTCAGACTACTATTTTAGCAAAGGTAAATTAAAATTTTATAATTTCTGAGCTCTTACCTTAAAAAAAATGAATCGATTTGAAGAAGCATTATAACTTTATGATTAAGCTATTTAGAAAAATCCTGAAAAATCTGATTATTATGAGGGCAAAGGTAGAATTATATCTGCATAATTTCATAGCATCAACTTTATATTTGATGAATAGATTTGAAGAAGCATTAGAATATTTTGATTAAGCTATTTGGAAAGATCCTAAAGATTCTGACTATTATTATGGCAAAGGTACAAGAAATTTTATTTAAATTTCGGAGCTCTTACATTAAATAAAATGAATCGACTCGAAGATGCACTACAATATTATGATTAAGCTATTAAAAAAAACCCTGAAATGTCAGACTATTATTTTAACAAAGGTTGAATAATATCAAAATAATTACTTAGCTAAAGTACTAGATAAAATGAAAAAATCTGATGAAGCATTACAACTTTATGATCTAGCTATTAAAAAAAATCCTGAAAAATTTGGTTATTATGAGGGCAAAGGTAGAATTATATCTGCATAATTTCATAGCATTAACTTTAAATAGTATGAAAAAATTTGAAGATGCATTGGAGTATTTTGATTTAGCTATTTCTAAAAACCCTGAAGAATCTGTCAATTATTGTCATAAAGGTATAATAAAATTAATAAAATTTCAAAGCTATTACCTTAAAGACAATGTTTAGGCTTGATGATGCGCTGCATCTATTTGATAAAGCTATTCAAAAATAACCTGAAAATTCTAGTTATTACTAAGAAAAAGGTTCAATTATATTTCTTTGAATTTAATAGCAATAACTTTAAATCTTATGAATAGATTCGAAGAAGCATTGGAATATTATGATTTAGCTATTTTGAAAAACCCTGAAAATTCTTAGTACTATTCTAATAAAGGTATGATAAATATAATATCATTTTTTATAGCTGTTACTTTAAGTAAAATGAATAGACTTGAAGAGGCTCTTGATGCTTTTGATTAAGCTATTTAGAAAAATCCTGAAGAATCCATATATTATGTTCAGAAAGGTAAAATACAATCTCTATAATTTATGAGCTAATACATTAGATAAAATGAATAGATTTAATGAAGCTTTGTAATTTTATGATTTTGGCATTATGAAAGATGATTAAAACTCAAAATTTTATTGTAACAAAGGTTTAATTATCTCCTTATAATTTCCTAGCATGTACTTTAGACAAAATGAATAGATTTGAAGAAGCTTTGGAATATTATAATTTAGCTATTTAGAAGAACCCTGAAAATTCTGACTACTATTTTAATTAAGGTAGAATATGATTTACAATTTTTAGCTCTTACATTAGGTAAGATGATTCGATATGAAGAATCATTGAAATATTTTAATTTAGCTCTTGAAATAAATAAGGAAAACATAATCTATTATGTTAATAAAGGTAGAATAAAATCAGTTTAATTTCTTAGCTAATATATTAGAAAAAATGAATCGATATGAATAAGCATTGGAACTTTTTACTCTAGCTATTGAAAAAAATCCTGAAATATCGGAATATTTTCTAAATAAAGGTATAATAAGTCCAATAAATTCTTAGCTAATTTATTAGAAAAAATGAATAGACTTGAAGAAGCATTGGAATACTATGATACTGCGATTTAAATAGATCCTGAAAATTCAAACTATTATAATGGCAAAGGTATATGAAAATTGGTAACACTTTATAGCTATTGCTCTAAAGAAAATGAATAGACTTGACAAAGCACTAATATGTTATGACTTAGCTATTTAGAAAAACCCTGAAGATTCTGACTATTATTTTAACAAAGGTAATTTTATTTAGGATAATGTTTTAGCTAATACATTACATAGATTGAATAGGTTTTAAGAAGCTCTTGACTAATTTGATTTAGCTATTTCGATAAACTAAGAAGATTCCGACTATTACTCTGCGAAAGGTAAATATAAGTCTGTGAATTTAAGCAATGACTTTAGAATAATTGAATAGATTTGAAGAAGCATTAACATATTATGATTCAGCTATTGAGAAAAACCCTGAAAATTCAAACTATTATTTTTACAAAGGTAAATACAACCAAATAATTACTGAGCAAATACACTACAGAAGATTAATAGGTTAANTTAAAGACAATGTTTAGGCTTGATGATGCGCTGCATCTATTTGATAAAGCTATTCAAAAATAACCTGAAAATTCTAGTTATTACTAAGAAAAAGGTTCAATTATATTTCTTTGAATTTAATAGCAATAACTTTAAATCTTATGAATAGATTCGAAGAAGCATTGGAATATTATGATTTAGCTATTTTGAAAAACCCTGAAAATTCTTAGTACTATTCTAATAAAGGTATGATAAATATAATATCATTTTTTATAGCTGTTACTTTAAGTAAAATGAATAGACTTGAAGAGGCTCTTGATGCTTTTGATTAAGCTATTTAGAAAAATCCTGAAGAATCCATATATTATGTTCAGAAAGGTAAAATACAATCTCTATAATTTATGAGCTAATACATTAGATAAAATGAATAGATTTAATGAAGCTTTGTAATTTTATGATTTTGGCATTATGAAAGATGATTAAAACTCAAAATTTTATTGTAACAAAGGTTTAATTATCTCCTTATAATTTCCTAGCATGTACTTTAGACAAAATGAATAGATTTGAAGAAGCTTTGGAATATTATAATTTAGCTATTTAGAAGAACCCTGAAAATTCTGACTACTATTTTAATTAAGGTAGAATATGATTTACAATTTTTAGCTCTTACATTAGGTAAGATGATTCGATATGAAGAATCATTGAAATATTTTAATTTAGCTCTTGAAATAAATAAGGAAAACATAATCTATTATGTTAATAAAGGTAGAATAAAATCAGTTTAATTTCTTAGCTAATATATTAGAAAAAATGAATCGATATGAATAAGCATTGGAACTTTTTACTCTAGCTATTGAAAAAAATCCTGAAATATCGGAATATTTTCTAAATAAAGGTATAATAAGTCCAATAAATTCTTAGCTAATTTATTAGAAAAAATGAATAGACTTGAAGAAGCATTGGAATACTATGATACTGCGATTTAAATAGATCCTGAAAATTCAAACTATTATAATGGCAAAGGTATATGAAAATTGGTAACACTTTATAGCTATTGCTCTAAAGAAAATGAATAGACTTGACAAAGCACTAATATGTTATGACTTAGCTATTTAGAAAAACCCTGAAGATTCTGACTATTATTTTAACAAAGGTAATTTTATTTAGGATAATGTTTTAGCTAATACATTACATAGATTGAATAGGTTTTAAGAAGCTCTTGACTAATTTGATTTAGCTATTTCGATAAACTAAGAAGATTCCGACTATTACTCTGCGAAAGGTAAATATAAGTCTGTGAATTTAAGCAATGACTTTAGAATAATTGAATAGATTTGAAGAAGCATTAACATATTATGATTCAGCTATTGAGAAAAACCCTGAAAATTCAAACTATTATTTTTACAAAGGTAAATACAACCAAATAATTACTGAGCAAATACACTACAGAAGATTAATAGGTTAAAAGAATCTCTAGAATATTATGATTCAGCTATTTTGAAAAACCCTGAAAATTCGGACTTTTTGATTAATAAAGGTACAATAATCAGTTTGATTTTTAGCTAATTCATTAGTTTAGATGAATAAATTTGAAGAAGGATTGGAATATTATGATTAAGCCATTTAGAAAAACCCTGAAAATTCTGTCTATTATTTTAACAAAGGTAAAATTTATTAAGACAATTTAATAGCTCTTACTTTATAAAAAATGAAGAGATTCGAAAAAGCATTGGAATATTATGATTTAGCCATAAAGAAAAACCCTGAAACTTCGGACTATTATTTTGACAAAGGTATTATCTATAAAGAGAATTTAATAGCTAATATTTTATATAAACTTAATAGATTTGAAGAAGCGTTGGAATATTATGATTCAGCTATTTACCATAACCCTTAAATTGCAGACTATTATTATAGTAAAGGTACTCTAAAATTTAAATAATTTATCAGCAGATACATTATAAAGAATGAGAAGATTTGAAGAAGCATTAGAGTATTATGATTCCGCTATTAAAAAAAACCCACGAGATTCTGACTATTACAATAACAAAGGAATGTTTATTCAATATAATTTAATAGCTAATGCCCTAGTTTAGATTGATAGAACTGAAGAAGCCATAGAACATTTTGATTAAGGTATTTCGATAAGTCCTGAAGATTCTTCCCTTTATTTTCACAAAGGTACATCGGATAAATTTCTTAGCCAATACATTATGTAAAATGGATAGATTTGAAGAAGCCTTGAAATTTTATGATTTAGCCATTTTTTTAAACCCCTAGGATTCAGATTATTATAACAACAAAGGTACAATAATCATTTATTCAATTCATAGCCAATGCTTTATAGAAAATAAATAGATTTGAAGAAGCTTAGATATAATATGATTTAGCCATTCAGTTAAACCCTTAAGATGAAAACAATAATATAGTGCAATTTATCTTTGAAGATTCTAGGTACAATTCTTTTAGTTGAGCATCAATTATATATAATTATAATTTATTGATATATATTATTTCAATATATCTCAAAAGATAATTTTTTGAAGTTGTCAATAAAAATACGGTTTATGCATTTAAACCCACAAATGAAAAGTCAAACTGTAATAATATCATGAGTAAGCAGTTTGAAATGAGAAATGGACATAATATGAGATAAGTTCTGATTTCCTAAAAAAATCAAATTAAACATAAAAAAGAGTTTGCTAACAGACAATAGATTTGCTAAACTTCAAACTTACTTTTTTATCTTCTTATTTAACCCAAACTCATCCTTCTAATTTTGGAGGCAATGTAAAATAAAAATGCACTTATATATTAATCAAGACTTTGCCAATTAGATGAAGTGACTTTGCGAAATGAATAGCCAATTTGAAATTTCTTTGAGATAAACATTTAAAACGCTTGTAGAGAATAAAAAGGTTAAAATATGCATAAAACAGATTTAATAGTTTAAAAACTAATAAACCAACATTGATTTTAGATATTCAAAAATCAAAGTTAGCTTAAAAAGAGAAAAATAATTTAATAAATTAAGATTTACATTATAAAAGTGAATATCTGTCCTTTCTGATTTAGAATGGTAGTTTTAATAAAATTTTCTTGTTTTTCTAATCAATTAATTCAAATTATGTTGATCTACTTATAACAGTAAATTTGAATTGAGAGAAGACCATTTACCAGAAGCAGATGATTAGTAATCTTCAATTAATATTTTTTTGGGGATTTGGTCCTTCACTGTGCTTTAGAGATCTACTTTTGTATTTTTTATGAATTCTCTCTCTAGCACAAATTTCATCATCATAAATAGCCAACAGAATTAGGAGATGGCCATTCAAAGTTTATGAAATTAAGCTAGATATATGAAAATTCGAGTTAAAGGCAATCAAAATAAAATAAGTCTTACTGAAAACACATTATGGCGCTTTGAATAGTTAGATAAATAACATGATTGCTTATACATCATAGTAATGCTTAATGATGAGAGCTTCACTTCTTTGAGAAATGGGCCTCTTTTTAAAAAGTGTGCAGAATAATTATCTTAAGAAAATATTACAAATTATGTTCTTGGATTTAAAGAACTAAAGATTGATGTAATAGATTGACATTGTACTTAATTAATAAAATTAAAAACTATAGAGTTATAAGATTTAATTAACCAATTCTATTATAATTGTACACATGATATGGAAGTTGGATTAGATAATAAACATATATTTCCAAGATATTCTACGCGAAAAGTTAAAGAATATGATGATATTTCAAGCTGAACTCATCGTCAAATAGTATCATAAATTTTAGGTGTTGTGTATCCAATAGATTGAAGTAAAAAAAAAATGATATTTATTTTCAAATTCTCGGAAAAATAAGAATATTTTCGTATAATAAAAATAAAATGCTCATGTGAATGTAAGTTTAATTTTCCTTTCTAACAATTAAATAATTCTAAATTGCATCTATCTGAAGTTCAATTTAAATAAGCATCTTTTAAATGATCAGTAATTATGGGATGTTATTAATTGTATAGATTACTGGTTGCATAAGATGATTCTTTCGAATATAAATGTAAATAATTATTTCTATTCTTTAAGCTTTCTAATTCAAGTTGAAGTTTAAAATTGCTAAAATATTGACCTAATTAATGGAAGTATTTGTAATTCATTTTTGAATTGCAGTTTACATCTAGATCCTAGAGATTTGCATGAGGTTTAGTATTCTCCAACTTGAACTGCAAGTACAGGCAGCAATAGTAAAGTTGTAATTTATTGATATTCCTCATGAATAGGATAATTAAAACTTGTTCACTATTTAATCAATAAAGAAATTCCTCTATTATTATCAAAAGAATAACAATTTTTCTGGTTTAACTGTTTTAACATGAAAAAAATGAATTATTTATTGAATAGCAAATTTTTAGAGAAACATCATTGGGTTTTCTAATTATACCAGACTCAAATATTAAAAAAATGTTTTTCAAAAGTTTCAACATTAACATATTTGATCCTATAACCAAAGAAAAGTTAAGATTTAGGAATGGAGATTAATAGAGATAATTGTTTAACTGATTGGAGAAAAATATAAATAAAGGAAAATGCACTTAGATTACATCAAAACTGTAGTGAAAGACCAAACTCTTGAAAAATACAAATAATTGCATATGCAGATGATGTAGTATTAACAGCAAATCAGGAAGTGATTGAAATAGGAACAAGGATATTTGCTGAAACTAAAAATTAGGTCTAAAATTGAATTTAAAAAATAATAACTACTTAGCAAACAAGAAAATACTTAGAAATGTCCATATGAAAATTGATAGATTTGAAATTTTTAATATTTTAAGCTTTGGGCATCAGTAGATAGAGTATCAAATAAGATACTGAAATTTGGATGCAAAAAAAACTTAAGACTAATTAAAAGTTATCCATAGAGAATAATAGATGGATTAATTAGAAGATTAGAATTTGAATTTAAAGAAAGGTAGAAGCAGAGAATTGGGTTGAGAAAACAGAAAAACATTATATCTTATCGGAGATATTGTCGAGAAATTTTATTCAAAATTATTAGCTTTATTTTTACATGCCAAATGCTATTTTTGTTATTAAAATGTATAAAAAACACGTACAATACTCTTTTTGTTTGATTATTATTTAATCAGCTATTTTCAGCACTATACAAAAAAATATGATTTTAATTAATTTTGCTTCTTTATTATTATTTTCATTGGTTGTAAATTAAGATGGCCTAAGTTACTAATCACTAAAAAAAAAAAGAAAAACAAACTTTATCCAAATTTTAGTCGAATCACTCGGCATAAGAACTGTTTCGAAGTAATATAATAACAAGCAACAATCACTTCTGATCAGAGGTGTCCACAGAGTATCTAATAAGGATATTTTTATCTGAGAAGTTTAGTATATAGATCATAATATATCAAGCAAAAAAGAAAAAATCCTCAAATATGATCCTTATTCAACGAATATTCCAATCTTAATATATTAAAAGAATTCATAAATTTGCAATATCATACAATAGAAAAATAACAATAACCATTTTAATATAGTATAACGATGAACATGGCATTGGAATGAAGTGTTTAAACAAATAGTGCAATGTGGAAATAAACTGTTGCTAAGATAGATTAAGGCATCACAAAGAAAGTCATTGTTTTAAAAGAGGATTCTGACAATTTGACTGGAATATAATGCAAGATAATTATAATTTTAAATACTTTTAGTCGTTTCCTTTTTAGGAATAAATATATAATCCCTAAAATGCTATAAAAATCACCTGAGAGTTTATCATACTGGGAGGTTTGCTTTCAAATATAGCAGTAGGTAACCACTGATCTAGTTGATTGCCATCTGTAAAAATCTTAAAAAATTTGAATGCCTTTTTCTTAATTCGACTGAAAGTAAGTCTCCAAAACACTTACTAATTCTACAGTATTTAAGTTATACTATCCTGCTCCAAACATACATTGATATAATTTTAGGAAGACCCGATACTGATCTTTAAGTGAGACGCTATGGATAAAGTTGCTTGTAACATAGGGTTCTAAAGTGGATTTCACAAAGATACACTTAGAGACTGCCTTGGATGTTTATAGGATTTACCTAATAAATCTTTATGTTAGTCGACATTTCCATCTGTTTTACATGATGTTGAACCAGAATCAGTGTGAGAACATGCGAAATATGGTTAAGAATATTATTTATGAATGTTATCATAAAGCACCATAAGGACTTCAATATTAAACAAGAGTCTCTGTATTACTAGAGTTAAAGTACAAGCACAGCAGCATTTTAAGGTGGACATGAATTTGAATTATGGTGACAGATTATAAACAAAAATTTAATAGTTGAAATACTTTGGTACCTCATATTATTTTAACGTAAAGAATTCTGGACAGTATTTTAGCAAAGGGGAAAGAAGACTGCCATCTGCTGATGCTGAGATATATTTAAGGTAGGAAGCACTAGTATAAGGATTACAATACACACTATATAGCAACATGAATTAGAACTATGATTCAGGTTGTCTATAAGGGCAGGCACTATCACAAGAACGATGCACATTATTATTTGCTGTATCAATGGCAACCAATAATGTAGTTAAATGCTAGCTTGTATATCTTGTGGCAACTTCACATTTTTAACAAGTAAAATTAAGTCAGACATTCTATAAAACTACTTATTTAATAAAGTACCCTAATAAGCTTAGCAAAGATCAGCAACTCTTTTAAATTAAATGCTAGAACTTTACATTTCAGCAAAATTCCAGAAGTTGCACAACAATTACTATTAGTATTACAAGGAGATAATTGTCATAAACATAAGAAACTGTACAAGATTTTTACTATGCTGTTAGATTAGAGATTACTTAATATTAATCTGTACACTATACGGTTCGAGTATTAAAAGCACAAGTAGTGCAACATATTGAGAAAAATAGTATAAGTGTCGATATGATTTCAGATCCATAATAATAGATATAACACATCCCCGAACAAATACAAGAAAGAAATTATCCTAAGGGCAAGGAATTGCCCACTTATTATTGTGTTTGATCGATTAACTCTCAAGTTTGTTTCAATATATCTCTCCGCTCATTGGCGCCAGCAAGTTTGGTATGGAGCAAATTGTTGAAGCACCCCAATACTATTTCTGATAAATACTCATGAATGATGTACCTAGATAATCCAACACAATGATGTCAATTTGTTTAAATTCATTCTTTTTTCCTAATCCCTTATATGTAGACCCAACGGTTCGTTGAGTGGTATCATTTATTCAATGATGTGTTAATTTTATTTTTAATCCATATGGTAATTTAAAAATTTTTTGATTTTTTCATAGCACTATGATGATTATAAATTCTTTTTTTTTTATTAAATTGATAAAATTGTATTTAAGATTGTAATTATTAAAGGATAATTATTTTAAATAGGGTTATTAACATCTTTATACATTAAAAAGATAAAAATATTTTCATTTTATAAACATACTTAATTCATGTAATTATTCTGATTATAATAGATGCAATCTATTTTAGCTATGTGGTTTAAGATTGAGACTTTTTTATTGTCAATCATAATTTAATATTTATAATTTTGTTATATAATGAATTTTTTCCATCTTGATACATAAATCAATTATAATTTTTGAAATTTACATTTCATAATCGGTAAGATAAATCTTTTAAGAATGGTTTAATTCAGTTAATTGGAATATATATCTTCAGCAGCACACTTTCCTTCAAGATTTGATATTGTGTGTAATTTAATTCTTTAATTTGAAGCATGAGTCCAAAACAAAATCATCTTATTAACTTTCGATTCATCTAGACTATCGCATAACTTATTATTATTATTAATAAAATTGATTAATTCATTTAATCCTTTTAGTATTGTTTTCATTTAAAAGTTTAGTAGATTAATAATTTTAAAAATACAACTGATTTTCATTTTTTCACAAGCAGGGAATTCAAAAAAGCAACTATTAAATTTTCATTGAAAAATTAAACTTTCTTTTAGTTTTATACAAGAAACAGGTTTTATTTAATTAAAATTGTTAGTGTTAAATTTTCAAATAATGAAGGGAGAGTTCTCTTTTATTAAGAATTTCAAGATGTTTATATAACCCTTTAAATATTATTTATCATACTCCATTTTCCAAATAAAATCTGCTTGTTAATTATATAAAACTAATATAAGATTATTAAAAAAATCATTTATGATAGTTAATTGAAGGAGAATAGCAATTATAATAAAAGTTTATAAAACCAAATTTAGATTCAATTCATTTTTAACTTCAAATATTACGCTTTATCTAAGACTTTTGAGGCATTTTGGGTAACAATTTTCATTTTAACAGAATTTCTGTTTGTTTTGATTAAAAAATAATTTTTTGTTTTAAGGGTTTACAAGAATGTATATAATAAATTGAAATGAAAGAGGGCACGAAAAATATAATGCCAGAAATTAAGGTAGTTTTGTTATTGGGATTTAGTATACATTCATTAAATCGGAAATTCTCTTGATTAAATATTTGATAACTGGAAATTAAGTTGTAAAAAAAGTTTCTTTTTTTTGATAAATTGTTAAATTAGACGAAGTGAAAAATAAAGAAATTTCCTTTAACATTTTGATGCAATTTAAAAGAAAGAGATGAATTAAAAATAGTATTGATTAAAGCTAATCAATTTA